CCAGGCCGAATAAATCCCGGCAGATGCAGGAAGATCTAGATGCATCCAGGTATCTTCCCTGAGATCCCGGCGCCTCAATTTTTTCGAGCTGGACGTTCTCGCCTCTTTCTCGGGCCCCAGGGCCCTCACAGACAAATTCGGCTCGAAAAGTGAATCGGAAAGATGAGTCTAGGGCTGCAGCGTGATTTTTACGATGTGCCCATTTTTCCCGGGAAGAGCATAAGCCCAGGGTTCTCTTTTAGTTGGTTTACCTCCGGGTTTGACTTGAGGTGGGCCGGCGAATTTCTTTGCGATAAATATCGAGATCGAGGTGGGCCGGCGAATTAAAATTTGAGGATGTCCCTAGCGAAACGCTTGATGTTCAGAATTTGCTGAGGATGTCTCGAGCGAAACGCTTGTTTTGTGTTATAGATTGTCCTCTCCTGGGGACCTGAATTCAGAGGATCTCTCAAGTGAAATGCTTGTTTTCACGTGCCCAGGTCTTGAGGATGTCTCACGCTTGGTTTCACGCCTCCAGGTTGCCCAGACAGATGTCTAGCATGAGGATTTGTTGAGGATGTCTCGAACCAGAGGCTTGTTTTCACGTGTCCAGGTCGCCCAGGCGGATGTCTAGCATGAGGATGTGTCGAGGAAGTCTCGATCGAGACGCTTGTTTGCACGTGTCCAGGTTACCCAGGCGGATGTCTAGCATGAGGATGTGCTGAGAACGTCTTGAGCGAAACGCGTGTTTTCACGTGTCCAGGTCGCCCAGGCACAGCACAGCCCTCGGCACGGTACATCAATATCGATACCCTTAGCATTGCAGCCTGGCATGTTGCCTGGCACGTTCCGCGGAGCGTCCCGTGGCGAGTCCCCCTGGCACGTCGCGCGGTGCACGTCCATTGGCACGTTCCGTAGCGCTTCCCCTTGGCACGTCCCGCGGTGCGTGCACATGGAACGTCCCCTGGCACGTCGCCTGGCGCGTCCCTTGGGACGTTCCGCGTCGCGTCCTCCTGGCATGTCCCCCTGTCGATGAGTTCTGGGGCAGCTACCATCTGCTCAGGCAGCTCGAGCTTAAGATCCAGATCAGTTCGGTCAGGACTCGGATGCAAAGAGGACTCGATCCACAACGCTATATATATAGGGCACAATCGCGGCATGGCACATCGCAGTTCAGCACGGCCAGCACAGCGCAGCCGTCGGCACAGTACATCAAGATCGATACGTTCAGCATTGCATTTGCCCGTCGCCCAATCAATTGTCTTTCAAACGTTGCCATGCCTCACATCTCTATAATCCTTTCCGGGTTCGTGGGTCGATCCATGTTTCGCTACGTCGGATCTCAGGGCTCAGGCAGGTGCAAAGATCTCCAAGGAGCCGTGGAGCAAATCGTGGCCGCTCCAGAGCGAGTCGAGGGACGGCAGAAGTCGTGAAGCCTTTGACGAGAGAAGGGTAGGGCTCGCGGGTGTCTGCCGGAGGAGGCGGAGGACAACGAGGCTCACTGCCCAAGGAGGGAAAGGGAAAGGTCGAGGGAGGGAGGGAGGGGACGGAGAATTGTGGGGGGGGCTCTCTCCGAGGAGAGCGATTTGTTCCCCGGCATCATGGCGCCATCCCTGCCAGGGCCCATCAACAGGGCCCCCCCCCACCCTAGGGGAACAAAAAGTGGCATAAACATAAAAACTCGGAGGTCCGCGCGTATTTCTCGGATCGGCGCTGGACCCCCCTCCCTGGCGCGAGGAGCGCGCCAGGGGCGGCGCCGGAGGCGCCGCCGGGGGGCCCAGCGCCGATCCGAGAAATCCGCGCGGACCTCCGAGTTTTTATGTTTATGCCACTTTTTGTTCCCCTACACCCGCCCCACGCTGCCACCCATCGCCCAACAGGTCGGCTCCACCCGCTCGCTCGGCCGGGGCCCTCGCACGGTCCGTCAGAGCTCGGCGGCCGGGCGCCTCCGCCTCCTCGCGAGGAGGCGGAGGCCCAGGGCGAGGAGCACCGCTTCCTCGGTCAGCCGGGGGGCGACGGCCTGCTTCGAACACTGGGCCGCCCTCAGAGCCCCAGCCCCCCCCTGGAGGCCACACAGGGTCAGCCCCGAAGTGGCGAGAGAGCCGATCCCTGGTCGGCACAGGCCGGGACCTCGAGGGCCCCAGAGAGACGAGAGGGAAGGGCATCGGGTGAAAGCCGTCGCGCAAGCGCTTGCGCACCATGAGCGCTGACCCGCCTGTGATCACCCTCTGGCCTTGACAGTTGCTCGTGAGTCCGCGCTGAAGGGGGGTGCAAGCATGCTGCCAACAAGCGGGGCAGAACATGATCGGAAGGCCATCGGGCACCGCGATCTACAATTCAGGTGGGGAAAGGACACACGGACACACATAATCAGCGATTCCCAAGAAGATATTGGAACATATGGGAAGTGGGGGAGAAAAGAACATCCATAAAACATTGAAAATATGGGGGATCTTGGGATCTGTGTCTGTTCATTTGTGTGTCCCTGGGCCGCTTCTACAGCGCAGTGCCCGATCACCATCTTCAAGGGTTGCACCACGCCCTGCTCGTGGGCCACACGGAGGGTCCCCCGAGGCGGGCCCGGGGGGGACCCTCCGCAGCGGCAGCAGCAGGCGGCGGGTCAGCAGGAGGAGAAGGAGGAGGAGGAGGAGGAGGAGGAGGAGGAGGAGGAGGAGGAGGGGGGGGAGGGGGAGGAGGAGGAAGGGAGGAGGGAGGAAGCGGAGGAGGAGAAGGGAGGAGGAGGAGGAGGAGGAGGAGGAGGAGGAGGAGGAGGAGGAGGAGGAGGAGGAGGAGGAGAGGAGGAGGAGGAGGAGGAGGAGGAGGAGGAGGAGGAGGAGGAGGAGGAGGAGGAGGAGGAGGGAGGAGGGGGAGGGAGGAGGAGAGGAGGAGGAGGAGGCGGAGGAGGAGGAAGAGGAGGGGGGGGAGGAGGAGGGGGAGGAGGAGGAGGAGGAGGAGGAGGAGGAGGAGGAGGAGGAGGAGGAGTAGGAGGAGAAGGATATGCAGGAGACTTCTTATCCTCGTTCTGCTTTTGTTCACTTGCCTACCTCTCACCATTTCGGAAGCAAACGTTCCCTCCAGTGGCTTTTGGAGAAGTGCTCCAAAGGCCAACAGGCTTTAGTTTGATCAGCCCCCCAGGGCCGCCCGACCTTGGGGACGGGGCGGCAGTAAGAGACTCCTCACGCCATCAGGAATCAGGAATCATATGGACGATGCAGGCTATGCACGACGTTTTTCCAAGCCACCTGGAACCAGATGGAGGACAACCTTCAGGTCTTCCGCCTCGGGAACCTCCTCAACAAAAATCTCGCGGGGCCGAAACCCAAGTCCATCTTCCCGTGCCGGCATGGTCCCTGGTCCCCGAGGCCCCCTATCGAGGCCGAAGGCTGCGCCGATAGCCTGCACGCGAGCTTGGCCACAAGGTGGCAGCCTCCCAAAGCATCACATCCCGCTCGTGAGAGTTGGTGGGGGCGTTGCCCATCTTGCAGCACTGGTTCCGTCTCGGTCAAGACCGCTCCTTGCTCGACATCCCTGGCCGCCGTGTGGGCTCTGGCATGCTCCAACAGAAAACTCGCACATTCCTCTCTGGCGTGAACCTGCCGTCACAAGCGGGCCTGCGAATGAGCAGTTTAGAGCGGGCGGTGACCGATCGAGGCGAGCGACAGCAGCCGAGCGCCCCCTTGCAGTCACCTCTAACCGTGCACGGACCAAGAACATGCTGGGAGACCATCTACCGACAGCAGTGGCGGGACAGCTCCATACATGGCCCCTAAATGTCTGCGATCCGAGTCGTGCATGACCCCCCCCCCACCGCAATCCTAAGAGATGGGCGCCTCTGGTCTAGACGAGAACCGTCAGGGAAGACATGCCCTCATTCCTGCAGAACTGGCAGGGGAAGGTGGCGTTACTCGCAGCTTCCAGCTGGGGTCGGAAGGTTTTCGCGAGACGCACTGGCCAGGCTCAGGAAAGAAACCGCGAGCAAACCTGTCTTTTCACCCTGGTGGGTCATCCAATATAGTCTCGCCAGCTCTGCCGAGCTCTGAAGGCAAGCGTTGACGACGTCACGCAGAGTCTGCAGGGCACCTGAAACATCTGCGATACAGGGATCCTCTTTTCATTTGGCGGAACTGGCAAACGTCAGGCAGGGTGGTCTCAGGAGGACAGGAGGAGGAGGAGGAGGAGGAGGACGAGGAGGAGGAGGAGGAGGAGGAGGAGGAGGAGGAGGAGGAGGGAGGAGCAGGAGGAGGAGGAGGAGGAGGCGGAGGAGGAGGAGGAGGAGGCGGAGGAGAAGGAGGAGGAGGGGAGGATGAGGAGGAGGAGGAGGAGGGGGGGGGAGGAGAGAAGACGAGGAGGAGGAGGCGGAGGAGGAGGAGGGGGAGGAGGAGGGGGAGGAGGAGGAGGAGGAGGAGAAGGAGGAGCAGAAGGAGCAGGAGGAGCAGGAGGAGTGAGCAGCTCGCTGTGCCCCATCTTCTGGACCTCCTGTGCCTCCACCTTCGGGGCTCCGTGCACCTCCACCGTCTCGAAGCAGTCGACGGCGTCTCTCTGGTCGCAGGCGGCATTGCTGTCCAGCGGGTCCCGAGCGGCAACCTCTTCGTCCACCGATCATCGACCACTCATACATTTTACGGCCATGGGTGCAGAGCTCGGCAAGCAGCCCGATTCGGGCACGGTAGTGTTCGAAGGTGGCGGGATCTGGCGCATGGGGTCCGAGCCTCACGCGGGAGGGAGGGGAGCGAGGAGGGATGCAGGGAGGGGCAGGAAAAGGCGAAGCAGGCGAGGACGACGACGAGGGCGGGGGCGAGGAGGAGAAGGAGGCGGAGGTGGATAAGCAGGGCCAGGAGGAGAAGCGGCGGCAAGAGGACGAAGACGAGGATCAGTTGCAGGAGGAGGAGGAGGAGGAGGAGGAGGAGGAGGAGGAGGAGGAGGAGGAGGAGGAGGAGGAGGAGGAGGACGAGGACGTGGCAGAGGAGGGCGAGGAGGGCGAGGAGGACGTGCAGGGGGGGACGCCGCCTGCCGCCCGCTGCAGCTGGGCCCGGCTCAGCTTGCTGCGCGCGTCCTGGCCGGGCCGCCTGCCGGGTCAGCCAGCCGAGGCAGGGGAGGGCGGCCCCCACCCGCCGGCCGCTCGATCGAGCATCGAAGCTCCCTCGAGCAGTGGCGAAGAGTCCTGGCGTGCCAATAGGCCCACCAAACAGTGTACCTCGCAGACCTCTTCGGCATCGATGAGCTAGAGGAATGACTCGTAGATCCCTAAGAGCGAAGCGGCGAGGCTTAAGAGTAATTCCGGCACGCTGGCGGGCTAGTTGGCTCGAAAAATCTCGACAGAAGTTTGCATAATTTCGGTCGTTTAAAAATAAGTTCCTCGAGATTCAAAAGTTCGTTAAAACCTTTTATGGTTTCCACGAGATGTTCTCAGGACATTTCTGGCTCGGGCCGTCTTGGCTTCTGGCATCCGGCTTATGTTATCAGAACGTTGTTTCTGTTCTAAGAACCTTTTTGGGTTCTAAGGTCTACGTTCCCTACCTAGGCTCTGCCTAGAAGGGTTCCTACCCAGTAGCTTAAAGGGCCGGGCAGTGGGGCCCGCCCCGGGCGGTTCCCCCAGTATCCGCCCCGCGGTTCCCCCGGCATCCGCTCCGCTTAGCTTAACTCAGCTTAGCTTAGCTTAGCTTATCTCATCTCGGCTGAGCTTAGCCTAGCCTAGCCTAGCTTAGCTTAGTTTAGCTTAGCTTACCTTCGCCTAGCCTAGCTTAGCTTAGCTAAGCTTAGTTTATTTCATCTTAGCTTAGCTTAGTCTAGTCTAGCTTAGCTGAGCCCAGTTTAGCTTGGTTTGCCTTACCTTAGCTTACCTTACCTTAGCTTGGCTTAGCCCAGCTTATCTTAGCTTAGCTTTGCGTATCTCATCGTAGCTTAGCTTAGCTTAGCTGATGTAAGCCGAGCCTAGCTTAGCGTAGCCTAGCCTAGTTAGCTTAGCTTAGCTGAGTTTGGCTTAGCTTAGCTTAGCTTAGCTTAGCTTATCTCATCGTAACTTAGCTTAGCTTACTTTAGCTTGTCTTAACTTAGCTTAGATCAGTTTAGTTTAGCTTAGCTTACCTTAGCTGTATTAACTTAGTTTAGCCCAGCTTAAATTAGCCTAGTCTAGCTTAGCTTAGCTTAGCGTCGCCTATGTCATCTTAGTATAGCCGAACTTAGCTTAGCTTAGTTTAGCGATCTTAGTTTAGCTTAGTTCAGCTTAGCTTAGTTTAGCTTAGCCTAGCTTAGCTTATGCTGCTTTCCTAGGGGTTCCAACTCCCAGGTAGGGTCGCATTGGGATAATTATCTGAGCATTGTTTCTGTTCTAAGAACTTCTTGGGGTTCTTAAAAAATCGTGGTGGGTTTATAGGAATGCCAGGACGGTCGGTCCCTGCTCGAGCTCGAGCTCCCGAGGGTTTCCCGGCCCCTCTCTTCCGAGGGAGGGATGTCTCCAGGGCGGCCAAGAGGGGAGGGGAGGGGTAGCATGGCGGGGGCCATGCTATCTCCCCTTCTCTCGTGGCGCCTCTTCTTACTTCGATGCGTCCCCCGCCCCGTCCCCCTTTGGGCCGCGCGCATGCCGCCGGCCAAGATTTGCGCCCCCCCTTCTTTGACGCCCCCCTCTTGGACGCCCCCGAATGTTCGGGCGCTGCTAGAACGTTCCTGGCCAAGGTGCCCCCCAGGACTTCCGAGGAGACTCCCGCGGCCTCCAGAGTACCCTTCACGAGGCCCAGAGAACCCCAGGAGCTCCAAGATGGAGCGACAAGCCGGGGGCACCCCGGGCCAGGAGGAGCACATTTGGCAACCCCCAGAGATTTCTACACACCCATTGCCCGGGGGCTTGGTCTTAGGGGGCCTCGGCAGGCAGCGCATAGTTGACATACTCGGCCCCCCCCCCCCGGGCCGAACTGTATCCGTGTCCACCGCCCGCTGGGGTCCCAGGGCATCGGTTCCACGGCCGGACGGTGGATCTGGATATACCCCCGCCTCGCATTCTTCGGCGGGTGAGAGAGGGGGTCTGCAACAGGGGGTCTTGAATGGGGGCTGAATGGCCCATGTGTGCTCAATGTATCGTTCCTAGTGATCGGGTACGATTGGCATCCAATGTTGGCGGTCATGGAGGGCCAGTCGTTCGTGCCCGCACGCTGCCCGCGCGGGTAAACGCGCCGTCCATCCATGATCGTTCATGAATGCGGGCGTTCTTGCATATCGCGCGTGGGGCGGCGAAGTAGAGTGCAAGTGTGTCTTGATTGTGCTACTGATGATCGCGTATCTTCCCAAACAATGACTTGTCGACCCCCACGACAGATTTGGGATGGGTCCCGCGATTCTCCCAACATGTGAATTCACATTTTCCGTTTTCCAAAGTGTGAATTCACATTTTCTTTTCTCCCAAGATGTGAATTCACATGTTGGCTCCTTCATAAAGATTCGCATATGGTCTCCAATGTGAGTTCACATCTTCCATGTTTCCCAAATGTGATTTTACATACTCCTTCTACCCAACATCTGAATTCACAGCTTGCTTTTCCCCACAATGTTAATTCACATGTTGCGCTGGCCCTCAAGATTCCCAAAAGTGAGGCGCGGTGCTCCGCATGTCAGACTCGCTGGGCAGATTTTGACATTCCTCACCGTTTTCGTTTATTCCAACCTCTTGTTGATGCGCCCTCAGCGCACGTTGCGTTCGTCGCCTTTCCCGGGCCCCCCGCCTTCTTGCTTCGTTTACCCTCAAGCCTCGCGCACGTGTGCAGGCGGGGAGCTTCAATTGGAGCCCCCGCCGAACATAGCAATCGAGGATGTATCGCCCATGCATGGCCCATAGAGACACCATTGTCGGGACCCTGCGCCCGACCCCCACTTTCACCCTCCAAATTATTGGGTCTCCAGCATCTTCTAAACGCCTTTGTGGACATCCGAAGACCTCTGGGGGCCTCTGGAGATGTCGGAGACACCCCCCCCCCTGCACCCCGTTCTTGCCCTTTCTTTTCTTCTTATTCGTCTTCTTATTATTGTGATTGACGTTATTATCATTATTGTTATTATTATGATCCGTATTATTATTATTATCCGTAAGGGCTTCGCCCCCTGCCGCCGGCCCCCTCTCTCGGATAATGGGCTATGCAAGAGCTAAATCATGAGGCCTCGGCGCCGCCGTGAAGCAGCATCGGCAAGAGATATTGAAATTCTGATGGCATTGTTGAACTCAGTGTTGCATCTTCCCGGAAAGGGCTGAGGCCCAGGGTTCTCTTTTAGAGGTTTACCCCCAGATCTGACGGCTGTAGGGCCGGCGAATTTCTTTTGCGATAACAAGGAGGTCGCGTAGGGCCGGCGAATTAAAATTTGAGGACGCCCCTAGCGAAACGCTTGTTTTTCAGAATGTGTTGAGGATGTCTCTAGCGAAACGCTTGTTTTGTGTTAAAGGTTATCCTCTCCTGGGGACCTGAATTCAGAGGATCTCTCAAGTGAAATGCTTGTTTTCACGGGCCCAGGTCTTCAGGATGTCTCGAGCGAGACGCTTGGTTTCACGCCTCCAGGTTGCCCAGACAGATGTCTAGCATGAGGATTTGTTGAGGATTTCTCGAGCGAGAGGCTTGTTTTCACGTGTCCAGGTCGCCCAGGCGGATGTCTAGCATGAGATGTGTCGAGGAAGTCTCGATCGAGACGCTTGTTTGCACGCGTCCAGGTTGCCCAGGCGGATGTCTAGTGTGAGGATGTGCTGAGAACGTCTTGAGCGAAACGCGTGTTTTCACGTGTCCAGGTCGGCCAGGCACAGCACAGCCCTCGGCACGGTACATCAATATCGATAGTTTGAGCATTGCAGCTTGGCATGTTGCCTGGCACGTCGCGCGGTGCACGTCCATTGGCACGTTCCGTAGCGCGTCCCCTTGGCACATCCCGCGGTGCGTGCCCATGGCACGTCTCCTGGCACGTCGCCTGGCGCGTCCCTTGGGACGTTCCGCGGCGCGTCCTCCTGGCATGTCCCCTCTGTCGATTAGTTCTGGGGCAGCTACCATCTGCTCAGGCAGCTCGAGCTTAAGATCCAGATCAGTTCGGTCAGGACTCGGATGCAAAGAGGACTCGATCCACAACGCTATATATAGAGCACAATCGCGGCATGACACATCGCAGTTCAGCACGGCCAGCACAGCGCAGCCGTCGGCACGGTACATCAAGATCAATACATTCAACATTGCATCTTGGCACGTTCTTTGGCGCGTTCCTTGGCGAGTCCACCTGGCACGTCGCGCGGCGCGTCCCCTGGCACGTCCCGCGGCACGTCCACTAGCACGTTCCGTAGCGCGTCCCCTTGGCACGTCCCGCGGTGCGTGCACATGGCACGTCCCCTGGCACGCCGCCTGGTGCGTCCCTTGGAACGTTCCGCGGCGCGTCCTCCTGGCATGTCCCCTCTGTCGATTAGTTCTGGGACAGCTACCATCTGCTCAGGCAGCTCGAGCTTAAGATCCAGATCAGTTCGGTCAGGACTCGGATGCCAGGGAGGACTCGATCCACAACGCTATATATATAGAGCACAATCGCGGCATGGCACATCGCAATTCAGCACGGCCAGCACAGCACAGCCCTCGCCACAGTACATCAAGATCTGTACATTCAGCACTGCATGTGCCCGTCGCCCAATCAAGTGTCTTTGAAACGTTGCCATGCCTTACATTTCTATATTCCTTTTTGGGTTCGTGGGTTGATCATGTTGAACCTGCCTCCGTATGTTGTGCACTGAGGTTCCCCAATGAATTTCGGACATGTGGCAAATCCCGTTGGTTTTTCGACCCTGACCCTGCTGATCTGATTGAGGGGTGCCGACGAATCTCAGAAATGCGGCAACTCCCATTGGTTTTTCGACCCTGACCCCGGCGATCTGCGTGAGGGGTGCCGCCGAATTTCGGAAACGTGGCAAATCCCATACGGGTTTTCGATCCTGACTCCACCGATCTGCGTAAGATGTGCCGCCGAATTTCAAAAATGTGGCAAATCCCATTAGGTTTCGACCCTGACTCTGCCGATCTGCGTGAGGGGTGCCGCCGAACTTCAGAAATGTGACAAATCCCATTGGTTTTTCGACCCTGAC